CTATGGTTGCTGCTAATATTGGAGTCAGTGTTGTCTGGACCATGTTCTCATGTGTTGATGAGTGAGGAAAACAGAAGGTCCTGGCATCCAGTGCCCGGCTTCAGGGTACAGCTAGAAGAGTTAGTCACACACCAGTGCCCATCTTAGCCTTCGCATGCTTTACTGCACAGCCGTACATTTTATAGAATTGCCCTTCTGGAGAGAGTTGTCACTTTAAGGGGCTTTTTTGATTCCTTTGGAGCTTGGTGTAGTATTTGACATGGGAAGTTGGGAAAACAAGAGAACAAACTTCTTTGAGGTAGCTGTACTCAGGCTCCGGGACGACAGGGGTCTTCATCTGAACCTCGGGTCCCATGGATCCTGGTCCATTAGTTAACACGTAACGTGTCAACTTTCTTATCTACAAATGGGGTGAATGATGGAACAGACAGAAGAGAACTGAGTGAGGAAGTCTGTGTTACACATGTGGCATGGTGTCAAACACAGAGGTAACAGCAGTAGTGAGTACGTGTGTTTAGTTATTGTCTATAAAGGAGGATTGGTCATATCACACCTCAGAAGAGGCAAATGACGTATAAAGGTGGAAAAGCCGTTCTCTTCTTTTCATGAACAAAGGTGCAATTATGTCTTTTGCTTTTCAGGTTACTTTTACCACCAGATAAAAATTTCTTGGTTTTTTATTTTTTTAAAATGCCTGAATAGAATTCAGTGTTATGGCTGTTTCTCTGTTTATATGACTGACCACTGTCCAGCAGATGGACGTGGTTGTTCGTCCTGCACTCACACAGCATCGCAGCGGGGGTTGTAGTTCTCATCCCACTCATGCCGTCTTATCCTCAGCTCACAGTTCTGGAGGTCGCAGAGCTTTCACAGGAAAATTCCATGAACTGTCTTTGTTCATTTTATTCATTTTTGTGTGTGTGTGTGTGAACATTCTTAAAAGGGTTCAGTTTGAAATAATTCCAGTCTTAACAAAGGTTTAGAGCACCAAGGATTCTCCTATACCGTTCATCCAGGTTCTCCAGGGCTACACCCTCTCACTGTAACTACTTTGATGCACATTGCTAAAAGTAAAAGATGTCATCCTGTGTAACTATATGTAACAGTTACTGAAATCAGGAAATTACATTTGACTAATAATGTCGCCCAATTTGCACAGCATATTCAGAGTTCATGCTGGTCAGTAAGGTGCCTGGCACAAGAGAAGAACACGTACATTCTGTTGTTGCTTCTGCTTCTAAGACCGAGTCTTGTTGCAGGGGAAGGAGCCGCCTGTTTGTCCCGGCCGCCTGGGGCTAGCTTAGCCCCGCAATAACCACATAGAAACTGTATTAATTAAATCACTGCTTGGCCCATTAGCTCTAGCTTCTTATTGGCTAACTCTTACATCTTAATTTAATCCACTTCTATTAATCTGTTATCACCACAAGGTCGTGGCAAAGTTCTGGCATGTCTATCTCTGGTGGGGATCCATGGTGTCTCTCTGACTCCACCTTCTTCCTCCCAGCATTCAGTTCCATCTTCCCTGCCTGCCTAAATTCCACCCTATCAACAGCCAAGGCCGTTTCTTTATTCATTAATGTTACTTACAGCACACAGAGGGGACTCCCACATCAGGGTCTCCTGTAAACCTTGTAGCTTTGAACTATGTAGCTGAACCTGACCCCAAACATCTGATCCTCCTCATCTCCACCTCCCTAGTGTCGAGATTACAGGCGTGTACCATCACAGTTGGCTATTTTGTGCATAACTTTGAAATTTTGATGTATTTACAATTTGTTTTTACTAGGCTGAATGGATTTATTTGGAATGCCCATTTCTTAACTGTGTTGTAAAGAGATTGTTACTGAATTTTGGGACTGACAGGCCAAAATGGTACCTTACTGTATTTTGAATTTCTATTTTCTCTTAATGAGCAAGGGTGAGAGCACCACTCTCTGGGTTAAGAAGCACCTGCATTTTTTTGTTGAATTAATTTTTGCTTTATTCTTGTACTTTTGTATTCTTTTATTCTTAATTCTTGTACTTTAAAAACTATAGTATTTTTGTATCTTTTTGTGACACACATTCTTCAGCCTTTTTTATCTGCATGGGAGAAATGTTTTGTGCATATGAAGCTATGTTTTTCAAACATCTTTTGCATTTTGGGCTTTGTGACATTTGTATTTCAGCAACGTGACAGAAACGTGGCTTTTTCTTTAAAGATTTTAGATTTTTATTTATTTGTGTATATTAGTGGTGCCTGTGTGCTTGTGGGGGTCAGAGAATTAGAGGAGTTGGCTCTTTTCCACTGTGTGAGTCCAGGGGTTGAATTTGAGGTTGTTTGGCTTAGCCACAGGTACTTTTTCCCAGTGAACCTTCCCCCTGGCTCAGAGCTGCCTCCTTTGCCTAGTGCTCTCATACCCCTGCAAACCACCCATCTGTCCCAACACGTGTAAGTTGGTTCTTTTTACTTGCGGAGTTACAGAGCTACTACCTTTATCCACCCTCCAGGTCTAGCTGAGTGTTTTGTAGACTGTTCTAGTCTCCTGCTTGGCCATTTCATTCTGTATTGATAAGGTATATTCAACTTGGTTTTAGACTTGTTTGTAAAAGCTAACACTAAATGTTGAGTTTTCAAAAATTAACTTTCATCTTGAAGAATGTGATTACTCCCCTAAATGTGTGAATATATTGAGAAGGAAAGTGCACTCAGCTAGCAAAGCTTACTTACCTCACTAATGCAGAATTGGAAACCTGGATTCAGTTTTTCTTTTTTTCCAAACATATACATATTATATTTGAGATAGCCTCTGTACTGTCAGTTTGCAGTCCCTGTTAGAGTCTATTCCTAGAAATAATTATAGCTTTCCCGTTTTATATTATGTCCTCTTATATATTTAAGTACATATTTTTCATGTCTAGAAACTCAGTCTGATGTCTAGGGAGACTTTCCAGGTCTAATAATAGCTCTTGTAGTTCCTTATTCGCTCCCCCATTTCCTTCTCTATCAAAATTATTCTTGCCGAGAATATTATTAGAGAAAATATCTTTATTCCTTTGGCATAAATGGAAAATTCTTTGTGTTTTATGACCATAAAGAGGAGATGAGAGATTTTCTTTTTTCCTGTACAGACAGGTTGAAACTAATTTGAGTTGAAATTTCATTTACCTGACTAAAGTGTGTTCTTTATGTGAATTATCTTGTTACTACTTTGGATGCCTGTTTGATTTCACAGCTAAATCTGATTGAAAATATTAAAAAAGAGGGCTAGAGAGATGGCTCAGTGGGTTAAAATGTGTATTGCTCTTTCAGAGGACCCAAGTTCAGTTCCCAACACCCACATTATACCTGTATTGCAACTGCATGAGACCTGACAAACTCTTAAGGCCTCTGGATACTGAACTTTCATGTTCATCTTCCTGCCTCTACAAACATACGCACACACACACACACACACACACACACACACACACACACACACAAAATAGAATAAAATATTTTCAAAAAGAAAATACTAGAAGTAAAAATGATTATGTGTTTTAGTTCAAGTTCTTGATCTTAATAAATTATTTATTTCCATACGTTGTCATTTTTTCCTCCTAACCAGGGTTTTGAATTAGGTTCAGAGGTACATAATAGTATCCATTGTTGAGAGGAGAGAACCTTTTGCTTTGGTGTATAAATTCCCCAGATTTACACATGCTGTGTGTGTTTTTGCTTAACTATTAGTTCCCTATTTTTGCACTAGAGCTTGCCATTTCCAATTTATTTGCATTTGTATGAGTTTATGTTTGTGGTTTAAGATGCTAAATAAATATCGAGCATCTTTCTGTAATTGGAGGTTTCTCTCCTGTCTCAGTTCCTGAATAACCACTTTGAGGCTTAATAGTAGTTAGAAACTATTTGACCTATTAGCTCAGACTTATTAATAGCTAGCTCTTACAACTTAAATTAACCCATTTCTATTATTCTATATTTTACAATGAGGCTTGTGGCTTGTTACCTCACATCTTGCTTCTCTGGTAGCTGCTGGTGTCTCCCAGACTCCACCTTCTTTCTCCCTGTCTTTCTGGATTTTCCGCCTAGCTATATTCTGCCTTGCCATAGGCCAAAATAGCTTCTTTATTAACCAGTGGTAATAAAACATATTCACAGCCTACAGAGGGCCGTCCCAAATCATCTTTCCTTCTGTTCTTGTCCTTTAAGTTGATCATGGAGTTATTTTTAAATGAATGTTTATTAGTTGAGGTTTTCATACAATGTACTTTTAATTATACTCCTCCCCTTCCCTAACTCTACCCCAAACTGCCCCTCTGATTCTCTACCCAAGATGACTTTGTGTCTTTTTTTTTCTTTAAATATTATTTAAAGAAAACTGTCTTCCCCTCTCCCAGCAGCTGACAGTTGCCAATAGCTCCGTGGCCAGTGGGTAGGATTTCCTGCCTAGCTTCCGTTCCCACACCAGGGTTTCGTCTGCTTTGGGCTTGTCCATGTTTTGTGCAGGCTGTTGTAGCTGCTGGCATCTGTGCACAGCGTCTCTGCTGTGTCAGAGCACACGGTTCCTTACCATAGCCCACCACCTCTTACACTCCTTCCTACCCTCTTCCTCAGTGATCCTTGAGTCTGCAGGGGTGCAGTTCCATTTAGGGATGAGCATTCTTTGGCCTCTTGCTCTGCATTATCATGGAGTCATTGGAACACACCTGCTTTCCTTCTTATCCAGATGGAACTCCATGCTGTGAGCCCTGATTTACATGCTACTGTGTGTTCAGTTAGCCGCCTTAAGTGGGGCATTGCGAATTGCTTCCTCATGGAATTTTAGGGCTTTCTTCAAGATTATTGCCCTTGATAATGTCCATAATGCTAGACTTTCATTTTTCTGTGATGGATTGTGGGTCTTTGACAGAATGCTTATAGCTTTCCACTGACGCAGTGAGCTGTCTCAGCAGGCCTCTCCTGGACGGATGGGACACTGTAGGACCTCGTCTGGACTTTTCCCTTTGCCTTGTCACTACAGGCTCCATTCGTGAGGAGAACGGGGTACGGTGGCATGTGTGTCCCTACTGCACAAAGGAGTTCCGGAAGCCCAGTGACCTTGTGCGCCACATCCGCATCCACACCCACGAGAAGCCCTTCAAGTGTCCACAGTGTTTCCGGGCCTTTGCCGTGAAGAGCACGCTGACTGCTCACATCAAAACTCACACTGGCATCAAGGCCTTCAAGTGCCAGTACTGCATGAAGAGCTTTTCCACCTCAGGGAGCCTCAAGGTGCACATCCGCCTCCACACAGGTGTGCACATGCTGGTTGGGGCGCAGGAAGTGCAGTGGTGGAACTCTCCAAGGTCTTTCTTCCTCCTGTCTTCCCATTCCTTTTGTTGATTTATGAGCTTTATCCTGATGGAAACAAGGATATGGTGGGAGAGTGATTAGAAAAGTAGTATTTACAAATGAGCACATTTGCAATGGGTGAAAGATTCGTATGGGAGACCAGACTTTAGCTTTAGACACATCAAACCTTTCTAAGGAAAAGTCATGTATTCCACAATCTCAGGAGACCTGTAGGCCGTAACTGGGACTCCATATGTTTGTAAGCAGCCATGTTATTGAGATAAAGATTCATGAAGTATACAGTTTTAATTGAACATTTTTATTGTCTCCTACTCCAAGTTTCATATTCCCTGGCACTCATTCCCAGGGCTGTGCTGGGAGGATGGAGGAGCCTGGGGAAACTAAGATTGGCTTTTTTTGTTATATGCTCTTCCAAGAATTCTTCATTTCCATTTACTAGTACAATTATGAGAGGAAATTGCTTTTATAGAGGGGATGTCTTGCCTTATCATTACTACCTAAAGACAGTTACCTTTCTCTGCTTTCTAACAAGAGAGCAGTTGTTGTCTTAACACGGTGTGTGTCCTCTCAGGTGCCTTCCATGAGGAGTGTTGGAGAGACTGGGCTCTCTGGTACAGTTTGGACTTCTTCAGGATGACTTGTTATTTGAATGTGAATGTTTTACAGCTTAAGGATCTGTCCTTAAGATAGCATATGTTTTTTCTTACTTGAAAAGCTATTGTATGGCCTAATAGCTATAATAATACTGATTAAAAGCATGTTCTTTTGTTTTATTAGGAGTTAGACCTTTTGCTTGTCCTCACTGTGATAAAAAATTTCGAACCTCAGGCCATAGGAAGACTCATATAGCTTCTCACTTTAAACACACGGAACTGCGGAAGATGAGGCACCAGCGCAAGCCTGCAAAGGTTCGGGTGGGCAAGACCAATGTTCCTGTCCCCGATATTCCTTTGCAAGAACCAATTCTCATAACGGACTTGGGTAAGATGGGTCATGGAGTGCTTGGCTGATCAGATGCTCTTCCTTTGGGGCCTGTGCGGGATGTGTATAAACTACAATATGTGCAGGAGAACAGGCATAGTATTGATGACATCTTCACTAGAAATTGCTTTGTTGGGCTAATATGTTCCACAGTCACGATTAAAATCTTAAAATACTGCTCAAAATGTGGTTTTTGTTTTAGATAAATAATATGAAAGGAAAAGTAGTCTTCTGTGAGTTCCAATTAAAGAGGTACTTCCGCCTTTAAGGACCCATGAAGGTGAAGAGGAATTTTAATGTAGAACACCCAGTGCAAATTGTTACTTGTATCTTTGGATTTCCATGTAGTATGTAGATTCCTTCTCTGGCTGCCAAGTCTTTACGTTGGAAAGAAAAAGAAGCTTGACCTGTTTCTGAGTTTGTTTTCTGTCACTGATATGATTAAGACATGATATGACTTATTAGCCAGCCACACACTCCCTGTCTGGGAAGGACCTTCTTCCTCACAGAAGGCACCAGGCAGCTCTCCAGGGCCTCTTTCTCTCCTTTCCCTTTTTATCAGCTTCTTCATGTATGCAATGCATCGCTCTCAACAATCACAGCTCATTACCATCTTTCATTTACCTCCAGTTCCTACTGAGCCCCTTTCCCTCCCAGCTCTGTGTCCTTATTCTCTGCAGACATCATGCAGGAAGTCACCTGTTGTTCATCCCTGTGCTCATAATTGCAGCGCCCATGCCCTACCCAGAGTTGTGTTTCACAGCGGCTCTTCCCATCTTCCAGGCCGTCCACGAAGGTCTCTGGACCTGGGTGGGGTGGTATAGATGTTACACTTTGGCTGAGGACCAGAAAGTCAGTTATTTGCATCACTTTGACCAGTTTTGAGTCTCTGTATTAACTGTTGCAGGGCCTCTTATTCACGAGGGCTCCACTGCAATGACTAGTTGGTCATCTCATGAACTCCCCCTGCTCATTGCTGCCACACTGTAGTTACATTTCAGTCTAAGATTTCCATGAGGGTGCAAGCATTTGGACTATAGCACTCATTAAGTTTTACAGGTAGATTTACATTTTATGCAATCTCCATATTAAATAATTTTCCTATTCAAAGTAATCTAACCTGAGCAAACATAATAGCAAATATACTGTGACTTAGTATGACAAGAGTTAAGGGGTGTATGAAATTAAATCTTAGGTTGATGTAAGTTAAAACCTAACAAGGGGATGATCAATATAGCCATTATCTCTCTTGAAATATTTATAATTCTTAAAATTATATGTGCTTATGTGTATCTTATGGGATGTATACATGTGAGTGCAGGGACCCCAGAGGACCTAGAGCTAGAGTTACAGGTGGTTGTAAGCCACCTGGTGTAGGAGCTAGGAACTCAGCTTGAGTTTTTTACAACTCTGTTATGTCCTTGTAACTGTTGAGCCACCTCTCTAAGCCTGATTATGACATAAGAATATGTAACAGAACGGTTGTGAAGAGAAACATTCAAATTCGAAATACCAGGAGAAAAATCAGTTTAAACACAGCGCCTTTCTTTCTTTGTTCCCTCCCCCCCTGGAGACACGGTGCCCTCTGTTTCAGGCTGTGGATAACCTTAAACTTGCCACCCTAGAGCTGGGGCTGTGAGCTTTCACCGTCACTCACAGATCACGTGACCTAAGGGGCTGAACCCAGAGCCGTGCATCTGCTCAGTCAGCACTCTACCTTGAACTGCATCTCAGCCCCATAAGAAGATTCTTATAGTGATGTCATCTTTTATATTCAAATATGTACTCTTAAAAATATGCATAAAATAGTTCACATTCTAAGGTATAGAAAAACTTGAATAAATTATGAGAAATTAGTATGTGCTATAATCTTTGATTATAGTTAAATGAAAACATAATTTAAAAGCTGTCTAAAATTTATTTATGAAAAGAAATACTTAAAACAAGTCATCTAAGCCGGGCGGTGGTGGCGCACGCCTTTAATCCCAGCACTCGGGAGGCAGAGGCAGGCGAATCTTTGTGAGTTCGAGGCCAGCCTGGTCTACAAGAGCTAGTTCCAGGACAGGCACCACAAACAACAGAGAAACCCTGTCTCGAAAAATAAAAAAAAAAAAAAACAAGTCATCTATTACAAATGGGAATAAACATAAACATAGTGTGTGGACTAAAGTTGTCCTCAGGAAAGTACGGCTTTTGAGTCCTTCTTGTTAAAAATAAGGATGAAATACATAATATTTTTCTTTAAAGATCAGATGACAAAATGGAAAAAGTAGCAGGAAGTTATTAGTGTGTAAAATAATTTGGTATAAAGTAGTGATTTTATAAAACTTTAAAAAATTAATAGTAAAGTAGATAGTATGACTTGTCCCCCAACGAACTAAAGGGAAAATGAGAAGACCTATAGGGAATGAAAAAAAAAGCAATGAATATAAATACAAATGAGATTAAAAAGTGTTTGCAGATATTCTACAACTAGTTGAAAAAGCATTTGAAGCATTTGAAAAGTTAAGTGAAATGACTGTTTTCCTGGCGAGTATCCTCACCAGAATTGTTCAGAGATGGAGACTGCAGATACCACAAATGACAGACAATAGAAGCACATCTTCTCCAGCACTCTCCACTCTGTGTGAGTCTGGTAAGCTTTGTGGGAAGTGTAATTGTCCCATTAGATTGTTTCTGAGATAGAAAACAGTTTACATGCTCTGTACTAGCACGGAAGAGTTGGGTTTATTCCATAGTTTACAAAACAATAGACTCTAATATTTTCTTTCCAGATTACAAATCAGATTAAACAACTTTGGATTTCTTTGTTTTTTGAGACAGGGCTCTATCTATCTATCTGTTTGTCTGTCTGTCTGTCTATCTATCTATCTATCTATAGCCCTGGCTATACTTGAACTTGCTCTGTAGATGAGGCTGTACTTTGGGTTTCCTGACTTCAAGTTTGTGAATCTCTTATTCCTCAGAACTTTTCTGAGGTTAAAGTGGAACATTTTGTTCTTTATCTTCACAGATGTAATAGATGGGATTTTCCTTTAGTCTAGACTGAGGTGTTGTATGGCGGCCCCTTGTTTGTTCCTGGCACACAGAAACTGTATTAATTAAATCACTGCTTGGCCCATTAGCACTAGCTTCTTATTGCTAACTCTTACATCTTAATTTAACTCATTTCTATTAATCTGTGTATTGCCACGTGGCTGTGGCTTACTGGTAAATTTTCGGCTTCTAGCTCCTGCGGGGCTGCATGGCTTCTCATTGATTCTGCCTTCTTTCTCACAGCATTCATTTTAGTTTTCCCCACCTAGCTCTGTTCTGCACTGCTCTGCTATAGGCTCAAAGCAGTTTCTTTATTAACCAATGGTATTCACAGCATACAGCATACTGAGATACATGAGGGAAACAGTTCTTAGTTATAGTGTTAGCTGCACACTGTAGGCCATTGTGACCCTTTTTTTATTCTTCCTCAATGGATATGAGTATGTTAGGCAGAGTTGGCTCTTTGGAGGCTCTAGAAAAATTTTGGCTGTGGGGATCATTTCTGATACGAACAGGACAGGGAGGATTTTGGAAGGACATTGTTACTGTTATGTGACCTGTTTAGGAGGTAGATGGGCTATTTAGGTCTGTCTGGTTACATTCAGTATAATGTTTTATACCCAAATTGTTACCTTACCAGTATTAGAATACATTAATATACTGTAACCAGAATTTCACCTCTTACTGAGGGAAGTTGTTTGCTAGTAAAGAACCATATGGTCAAATATTTTTCAGAACTCTTAGAGCTGTGTGAAAACTTAAATTCACTCCCCTGACCTCTCAATACTGCCTTCCCCTATTTTGATAGACTTAAAACCTGGGGTCTAGGGCAGTTGTTAACTTTGCTTTGGCCATGTGACTGACTTGACTTAGAACCTGGATATTATGATTTCAAGGCTGGGCTCATGTCCTTTCTGTATCCACTGCGACGACCCTGGGTCAAGAGCAGTTGTATGCTGGTACAAAACACTCTGGGGCTTTGCTCAGTTAAGCTAAGTTATTATGGTTTATAGCATTGGGGGATAGTGTTGTACTTGAGCTTCTTCTTATTCTCTAAATGCTTTGCTTTGAAGTTAGGATCCAGGTTTTAAGTAGAATAACAAACAGACTAAGTATTGGCCTCAGGACTAATCTCAACATAGATTTTCCTCCCCAGAGTGATTTGAAACAAATGTTTCAAATCAGGTATTTTACACAGATGTAGTAAAAAAAAAAAATTGGGGGGATAGGACTCAAGTTTGAAGACAAAATTCCTTATTTTTTATGTTTACTGAATACATACAACCTGAAGGTAGTTTTATATAGTAATTTTAATATCTCTGCCATTTGTGACCTGTCACAGGAGAACAGACATGGAATTTTCCATTTTCATTTTAGTGTTCAAAATGCTAGGGTTATGAAACATTTCATACTTCAGATTAGGGATCCTCAACCTGTGTTCTTAACTACAGTTACAGATTCTGTGTATGTGAATGTGTGTGTGTGTGTGTGTGTGTGTGTGTGTGTGTGTGTAAGTGTAATGTGTAGGTGTATGAAATAAAACTTGCATCTCAGCATATTTATGTGATATCTGTATTAATTGTCATGTATGAAATATTTTTTGAAATTTATGCCCTGGCAATGCTGAAGCATGCATGGGTAGCCCATATATGGTGGTTCTGTTGAACTTGTCCAGATTGGGTTTTGTGATCTGAGCTTATGAGGACAACTGGCCAGGTCAATTGTCATGTATACTGTTTTAAAAATAGCATCATATTATGGTGGTAGATTTTTTTCAAATTTATGTTTTTTGTCTTAGTCATTGTCAGCTATACTAAACACATGTTTATCTATTTTATAACAAGATTTATGGTAGTGTGTTAAGTGTGAGATAGATGTTTTTCCACATCCTGTCATTTTTCAGTATTTAAACAATGTTACTATGTGCAATAGTTGAATTCCAGGTGTTTTCCCCTAAGCTCCCTAACAAGGTAATAATTTTCTTTGTTTTTATAGAAGAGATTTTTAAGGAATTTACAGTCACTCTAGTTTGCTCTTGACTTACATTAAGTAAAATTTGTTTCTACCCATCTTTGAGATTAGTAGTTTCCTGAAGGACCAGAGATTTAATAGAAATGACTGACAGAGTCAATGCAGTAGGACTTGATATGTGTTTTATTTAGCCTCATTTCTTGTTTAAAGATTGAGAGCTTATAATAGCCTTGTTTTGATAGACCTTGTCTGAACAAACTTAGCAGAGATAAAAATGAGAATCACTTTATTTAATTGTTCAGCGGAGGACTCCTCCCTGCCCCCTAGCCCAGCCTCCTCAGGATGGTTTTCTTTCTTCTTTCTTTCTTTCTCTCTTTCTTTCTTTCTTTCTTTCTTTCTTTCTTTCTTTCTTTCTTTCTCTCTCTCTCTCTCTCTCTCTCTCTCTCTCTCTCTCTCTCTTTCTTTCTTTCTTTCATTGATATTTATTGAGCTCTACATTTTTCTCTGCTCCCCTTCCTGCCTCTCCCCTCCCTCCTTCAACCCTCCCCCAAGGTCCCCATGCTCCCAATTTACTCAGGATATCTTCTCTTTTTCTCCTTCCTCTGTAGATCCATGTAAGTCTCTTTTAGTGTCCTCATTGTTGTTTAAATTCTCTGGGATTGTGGTTTCTAGGCTGGCTTTCTTTGCTTTTTGTTTAAAAAACTACCTGTGAGTGAGCACATGTGATAATTGTCTGTGTCTGGGTTACCTCACTCAAAATGATGTTTTCTGCTCCATCCATTTTCCTGCAAAATTCAAAATGTCATTTTTTTCTGCTGTGTAGTACTCCATTGTGTAAATGTACCACATTTTCCTTATCCATTCTTTGATTGAGGAGCATTTAGGTTTTTTCCAGGTTCTGGCTATGACAAACAATGCTGCTATGAACATAGTTGAGCACATGTCCTTGTGGCACGATTGAGCACTCTTTGAATATGTACCCAAAAGTGGTATTACTGGGTCTTGAGGAAGGTTGTTTCCTAATTTTCTGAGAAAATACCACACTGACATCCTAAGGGGTTGTACCAGCTTACATTCCCACCAGCAATGCAAAAGTGTTCCCTTTTCCCCACAACCTCTTCAGCATAAGTTGTCATCAGTATTTTTGATTTTGCCCATTCTTACAGGTGTAAGATGGAATCTCAGAGTTGTTTTGATTTGCATTTCTCTGATGCCTAAGGATGTTGAACATTTCCCTAAGTGTCCTTCAGCCATTTTAGATTCCTCTGTTGAGAGTTCTCTGTTTAGGCCTGCACTCCATTTTTTTTTTTTTTATTGAATTATGTGTTCTTTTGGTGTCCAATTTCTTGAGTTCTTTGTATATTTTGGAGATCAGACTTCTGTCTGATGTGGGGTTAGTGAAGATCTTTTCCCATCTGTAGGCTATCGTTTTGTCTTGTTGACAGTGTCCTTTGCTTTACAGAAGCTTTTCAGTTTCAGGAGGTCCCATTTATTAATTGTTTCTCTCAGTGTCTGTGCTGCTGGGGTTATATTTAGGAAGTAGTCTCCTGTGCCAATGAGTTCAAGTGTATTTCTCACTTTCTCTCCTATAAGGTTCAGTGTGGCTGGCTTTACGTTGAGGTCTTTGATCCATTTGGACCTGAGTTTTGTGCATGGTGATAGATATGGGTCTATTTTCGTTCTTGTGCATGTTGATATCCAGTTATGCCAGCATAACTTTCTTTCTTTTTTCTATTTGATATTTTTTGCTTCTTTGTCAAAGATCAGGTGTTCGAAGATGTGTGGATTGATGGATTGATATCCGGGCTTCTATTCGGTTCCATTGGTCCTCTTGTCTGTTCTTTTGCCAATATCAGACTGTTTTTAGTACTGTAGCTCTGTGTAGAGTTTGAAGTCAGGGATTGTGATGCCTCCAGAAGTTCTTTTATTGTACAGGATTGTTTTGGCTATCCTGGGTTTTTTGCTTTTCCATATTAAGTTGAGTACCATTCTTTTGAGGTCTTTGAAGAAATTTGCTGGGATTTTGATGGGCATTGTGTTGAATCTGTCCTCAGGATTTTTTTTTTTTTATCATCTATGTACTTGGAAGCCATTTCAGGGATTGTAATTGCATGCAAGAGGGAAGACACTAAGGTGCTGTTGTGTGCACTAGAATTGTTCACCTCAGTATTGTTTATCCAGTCAAAGTATACGCAGGGAACACAGGACATGGGTACAGTCGAGTTCTGCTTAACATCTGGAGAATAAGGAAGATAATGTCACCTGTAAAGACTTGAGGGAGTGTTAAGTTCTGCAGAAGTATAAGGAGTGAGTTTAGGGAAAAGAATTGGGACAAGAGAGAAGACACCATCTGAAATAACTTAGAAGATATTCAAGTCTGTATCAAGTGTAAGCAGGGAGTTTTAGGGAGAAGAATTGGGGCACAGCTTGTTCATTGTCAGAAACAATGTTATGTCTTAAAAGGTGCATAATTGCTTTGTAGAAGTTAGTGCCATTGCTGAGGGGTGAAGATGGGTTGGAGGGTAGAGTATTGGCAAATGTGTGTTTAATCTTGACCTCAGGAGGAACAGTTCAGTCTTCCTTCTAGTGTTTCAGATAACTATTCAGTTCCTGAAGCTTGAGAACTAAGTTTCTGCTGCAATGTATTTGGAGCCCAAAGGCACTATCACTTTGTGTTTGTTGATGATCAAACCAAGGAAATCCTTTATTTAATAAAAGCATGTAAATCTTGAAATACATAGGTCAATAATCTACAAATTTTAATTTATTTATTTTCTTTTATGTGTATGTTTTGTCTATATACATGTAGATGTACCACATGTGTGCCTGTTCAATCTTCTGGAACTGGGATTGGGGATGGTTGTTAACTACTGTGTGGTTTCTGGGAACTGAATCCAGGTCCTCTGCAAGAGCAACAATGTCCTATTAACCATAGATACATCTCTTCAGCCCCTAGCTAATTATCTTGCCATTCACAAATATCCCTTTAATATAAAACTTTTGAGAAAATACTGACATCTACAGAGCAATATTTCATGTTTGAAGTATTTATGTTTTGAGTTTATTATTGTACTTTATGCACTATTCATACTGAATACAGAGAGATTTAAAAGCCTGACAAAAGTTTTGGATGGACGTATGTAAATTTCATGTCAGCATATGTTTGTAGTAAAAGTAAATGTAGAAAGCCATTAAATAATGGCTCTGGAATCCAGTACATATTTATAATAATTTACACATTCTTCAGTGCCAGAAAATAGCAATTGATAACTATTTCACCATAGGCATTGAAATGATGCAGTTAAGTGGATGCTAATTCATGACGTAATTAATATGCCTTTGCTGTGACAGTGGAGTCTGTAGCACATCAGGGTTCTTATCTCTATCTTAAAGCAGACGCCTTTGGCCTATTAGTAGTAACACTGACAGTGAATTATTCCCACTTTTCTTTGGATTTGTAGGTCTTATCCAGCCCATCCCAAAAAACCAATTTTTCCAAAATTATTTTAATAATAATTTTGGCAATGAAGCAGATAGACCCTACAAATGTTTTTACTGTCATCGAGCATACAAAAAGTCTTGCCATCTTAAACAGCACATCAGGTAAGTCGGAGGGGAAGTGGAGATTGAATACAAGTCCAGAGGGTCTGTGATCTGCTGACAAAATATTTAGGATGGTATTGCTAGCTTATGGTTAAACTATTTTATTTGACCAAAAAATACTAATTTGTGATTTTTTAAATTCTTGAATATTTTCATTCAAATATTTTAATCAGAAGTTGTCCCTGAGTTTTATTTTTATTCTAGTTATACTTAATGTTTGCAATTTCTAGCATGTTTTATTTTAATTAGAATGTGTAGATGTTCTCACCAGAGCTAACATCAGTGAACAAAAGGTAGGAAGTTTTCTGAAAACAGAGCCAGCAGAAGGTTCATGCTCTCACTACAGTGTGTGCAGCTCGGTGTCTCTGATGGTCACTCAGCTGAGTCTCAGTCTTGCTCACTTAGAAAATGTAGAAAGCGAGATCTTTTCTGTGTACCTTTAGAAGAGTGAAGTATCTCTGAGTTTATACTTGTTACAAATGTGTAATAAATGTATTAAGGGTTTTTTCCTACATTTTTAGATCACATACGGGTGAAAAACCTTTCAAATGTTCGCAGTGTGGCAGAGGCTTCGTCTCTGCAGGAGTGCTCAAAGCACATGTTCGGACACACACTGGACTGAAGTCTTTCAAGTGTCTGATCTGCAATGGAGCCTTTACCACAGGTGGCAGCTTACGGCGACATATGGGCATACACAACGACCTCCGCCCCTACATGTGTCCCTATTGCCAGAAAACATTTAAGACTTCACTAAACTGCAAAAAACACATGAAAACCCATAGGTAGGTATAATGCTGATGTACCTGCTGTTCTTATCTTCATAATTCCCACATGGGGTGGGAAGCAGTTAAGAAGTTATTGTCTTTGATGCCTGTATTGTTATTTCTAACTGGGAGTGATACTGGGTCGAGAAGTTTGGCTGTCTTTGCTTAGGGATCTATGAGAACCATATATGATAGCATGAATTTATGTGTGTATTTTTTAATGTTTTTTTTTTGAGCCAGGTGTGATGACTCATGCCTGTAATCTAAGAACATGAGAGGCTGAGAGAGAAGTATTGTTGTCAATTCAAGACCAGACTGGGCTAGAGAGTGAGACCCTGTCTCCACCAAATAAAGAAACCAAGCCAACTATAATGCATGTGTGCGTGGACACACATGCGCACACACACACAGGGACCAGGCAGTGGTGGCACATGCTTTTAATCCCAGTACTTGAGAGGCAGAGGTAGGAGAGTCTCTGTGAGTTCAAGATCAGCCTGGTCTTGAGTGAGTTCCAGGATTAGCTTCATAGCTACTGGGAAACCCTGTCTCGAAAAAACCAAAAATAGGACAAGAAAAAGAGAGAGAAAACAGGATCTCACTGTGTAGCTCAGGATGGCCTTGAAGTCCTGATTGCTGGGGATTACACATGTGGATACCACCATACCCAGTTAACGTTTTTACTTTTAATTTTGAGGCAGTCTAATAGGCTAAACTGTCTTTTAGAGCTGGTAGTCAGAGGCTAGCCCTAACAATAGATGGTGAAGATTTTTAAAAAGCAGCCAACTTCACCCAAAAGCCTTCGTATTAGGAATTCAGCAAGGGGTTAATCCACTGAACAAATCAGATCCTCCTAATCTAGTCATTTCCCCAGAGTCTCACTTCTGGGCACCGCTATATGGAAAACGAAGTTCTCAGAGCATGACTTGGGATATCCATACATGATAACATACCACAAAACCTGTCTGCTTGGGACCAAGAGTCAACAGGTTGCGCAGGATTGCTTTTAAAGGAGTGGGGTTTGTTTTGAGACCTTAGTTCACTCCATAATCCAGGATAACTTTGAACTCACAGCAGTTTTCCTGTATCAGTCTCCTAAATGCTGAAATTACAGGTGTGCACTATTGTTTTGGCTTTTTAAACTTGAAGATATTGTTTCATGTGCTGTCCTACCTGTCTCTTCTTGCCTTCAAGTCCTGTGATTGCTGACAGCAACTGATAGCAATAGGGTTTCCTTTTAGAATTATAAAGTAGTTAGCTTTTATCTATAGTCACACCATTACTTCAAAATGAAATAATTGAAGAATAAAAATGCTATTTTAGCAAATGGCATCTTTCACAGATGTTATCTATGCTATTGATAGTGTCTACTTTATGAATTGTTGCTGCTTTCCCAAAGATACGAACTAGCCCAGCAGCTCCAGCAGCATCAGGAAGAGTCCTCCATAGACGACAGCGCAGTGGACCAGCAGAGCATGCAAGTGTCAGCTCCCATGCCAGTGGAGATTGAAAGTGCGGAACTGCAGCAGACCCCAGAGACCGTGGCAGCAGATCCTGAAGCTATACTGGAACTGGGGCCCCAGCATGTGGTAGGCACAGAAGATGCGGAACTTGGACAGCAATTGGCAGATGAGCCTTTGGAAGCTGATGAAGGTAACACTTCAGGAGCTTCAGCTTCTCTGATGAGCCCAGTGGTCTTGTGGTCCTTGGACTCAGTGTAATCCCTGTTGTCTTCTCTTTGGTGCTGGGGCTAATAAACAGAAGTGTGTGCAAGCATCTATCTCTGAGCTACACTAGCTGTCCTGCTTGCCTTTTTAAAGTCACAATCTGTGCTAAGTATATATATGCTAAGTATAGCTGTGATATTTGATCTTCGTATGTCCTTTGCTTTCTTTAACTGATAGTAATTAGCTTATTTTAGGGATTTGGTGATTTTTGTTCCTGTTTTTTTCTAATGTGGCTCAGGGTTGTTGTCTGTTGTAAATACAAAGCAATCTGACTTCTTGGTGGCAAATTTTTCAATTACTTGAAATTTTAGGCCTACAGAAAAATTTACTGTCCATATTTTGTTGTAAGTTCTTCTGATTTGTTCTAAACAAATATGTCAGCATGACCTTCTGTGTGTCTGTCTGTGTGCCCATATTGAAAATATTCATGGCTTATAGAAAGAGGACCTTTTATGCAATTTTTATAAACTTCTTTTGATATATTGTCAACATTTTTCCTTTTAGCTGTGCTCATTAGTAATCTGTGACAAGGACTCCATGTAGACTCCCAGACTAGTGAGGCAGGTGACCGTCCCCGGGCGCAGTGAAGCGAGTTCCTGGTAGAGAATGTAAAGCAACATGTTGCTTTGTTTCATTGGCAGTGTTGGTCAGTAGAAAGTGGTAGCTGAGCCGCATCCAAGTGCTCATTGCCACCGACATCTTCACCCCAACAAGCTTTCATCTTACCAGACTTGCTAGTAGACAGTTACTGCCTGATTTATGATTTTGTTCTCTGGCTGTCCTAAAATTTATTTAGTCTGTTAGCAGGAATGTACACGTTTTATCCCCTATGATGCCCGAGTTTTACATAATTACCAAGTATAGCTGGATTTCAGAATATTTCATTATGTAGATAACTTTTTAGAACAATATTACCTTCCTCTTGTGTTTTTAAAATGAGAGGACTAATTTTTGAAAACTCACTAGAATACTTCTAGATGGATCAGTAGATGGTTAATGACTTTAGACAGTGTGCACTTCTTTCTCTTTGCCCTTAGATGGGTTTACAGCTCCCCCGGATGCTCTCCCAGGACACATGGACCAGTTTGAAGATCAAACTACTCCACAGCAGTCTTTTGAATCTGCAGGACTCTCACAAGGTCAGTGTGAATTTCAGTGAGCCTGCAAACCAGCTGGCCTCTGCTGGGTTTAGTTTGCAAAACTTAGGGTGTTTCTCTGAGGAAATTTGTAAAATTTTATGATTTAAACCGATAATTATAATCATTTATGTTTTATATAAAGTTATATAATCTCCTCATCTCCTAAAAAATGACTTTTGCATCCATTCTATGAAGGGTCTCCATTTCAGAGAAGGTGGTGGGTTGGAGTAAAGTTCTGGTGGGAACTGATGTTCATGCTGGATTATAAAGCTGTGTCCAGGGACATGGACTGGGAACAACGCCCTGCCTATTACCAGATAGCCCAGAGCTCTAGAACATCACCCTGGTCTTGACTCTCATTCAGGAAGCAGAAATGCCTAAACGTCTTTTCCTCATCAACTGATTTTTACCTTTGGTGTGATTGACATGTGCTGTAGAGCTTCTGTACCTCATGTGTTTCAGGTTTCACAGTCACTGACACATACAGTCAGCAGACTCCATTCCCAGCTGTGCAGCAGCTGCAGGATTCTAGCACACTTGAGTCCCAGGCCTTGTCAACGAGTTTCCACCAGCAAAACTTACTGCAGGTCCCAAGCTCCGATGCCATCGATGTGGTGAGTATGTGTAGAAGGGCTGAGTAGCTCCTTATCCAGCAGATTTCTCTCTATCTTCTGCTGTAGTCATTTCGAATGCATGTGTCATACTTATATCTCGGGTTAGTACAGGCGATGCATCACATGCAGCACACAGACCATCTTTTTTCTGAAAGCATTTTAACTGTACTTCGTCTGATTGACACTGTGGGTAGCTTTGCCATTTTGATTAAGCCAGGAATTTACTAGTATGTTGTATAAGAAGCTGAAGAATATTACTTTAAGCACAAAATGTATTTTTTCTTGCAGAATCATAAATGTTAGAAGGAAAATGAAATTCATTCTGATATGTTAAAAATAAATACAATATAAAACATTATTTCTTTAAGTAATAGGTTTCCTTATAACATTTTCTATTATAATTAAATTTTTCCTCTTAGAAACCCTGAGATGTTTGTTTGGTTTTTTTTTTCTTTTGCAAGTTTTTAAGTAGTGTTAAAAATGTCAGACACATTCAATAGTTACCTCTTTAAAAATCTACCAGTGTTAGTAGTAGGCAGGAAAAATCAGAGCACTTTCAGTTTTTTAGCAAGGATGTGGAGAGCATGCGTGGCTGAGCTTTACTGCACATCCCTCTGAATAGACTTTTGCCTACTTAGTGCAGGTGATGTAGCAAGATGGTACTTTATCTAATTTGGTCATGAAAGTTGGGTGAACAAATAAGAAAAAATCTTGCTTCCATTGTCTTGCAAGAATGTTTATAGTTTACCCTTTAGTTATCCAGGTATTCTGAAGTCTCATTTGCTTTCTGTCCAGTGTGAATAGGTTGTATTTTGAAGTCAGAAAGCATTGACTAGGCTGGGTGTCATGTCAGAGTAAGGGTCAGGGTCACTGCTCTTTGGTCCTGTCTCTGAGAGGCAGAGGTGACTTCTTGTCCCTAGGGCTCTTGAGAGAGAGTCCCACTCTTCTCAGAAAGTAGAGTATTTCTTCACACCACTGTCTTAGTTTCTACTGCTCCAACAGTATACCTCTGGGAGCTAACTTAGAAATAGGAAAGGGTTTATTTTGCTTCACAATTTCAGAAATTTTAGTCCATGAATTATTGGCTCTGTTGCTTTGGGGCCTGTGGCATGGCAGAATGTCATCTTGGGGGCATATGTGGTGGAAAAAAATGCTTACCTTGTGGCATTGGGAGAAAGTTGGGGTTCCAATTTCCCCTATAAGGGCATGTCCTCAATAGCAATATTCTCTAAATGGGTTTACCCCACAAAGGTTCTGCCAGTCCCCAGTAGTGTCACAGAATAGCAGTCAGTCCTTTAGGATATTATAGGATGTTTAGGACAAGCTTGATCAACATAGCACACTCTAGGCTAGCCTTGGCTAACTAGACTTAGACTCTGCCTCAAACAATCTATAAATAAATAGTTTAATAAAAAGTAAATACAATGCTGGGAATGGTGGCACACACCTTTAATCCCAACACTCGGGAGGCAGAGGCAGGTGGATCTTTGTGAGCCTGGTCTATAAAACAAGTTCCAGGACAGTCAGGTCTGTTACACAGAGAAACCCTGTCTTGGGGGAAAAAAAAAGGAGAGAAAAAAGGGAAACAAGAAACATTCTTAATCATATCTATGGCAAAAAAAAAAAGTATACTTTCTCTCTTTCAGACTGCTACCATGGACTACTTGTGGTCTTTTTTCTTTGAAAACTATAGTAAGAGCACTTATATCTTTGTTCCTATTGAGTCTTCCTATATTTATTGTAGATAGTCATTGTTCTTGCTTTATATTTCTGGTCATTTTAGGCAACTCGTTTGCTTCCAGAGTCATCTCAAGAGGATCTAGACCTACAGCCACCGCGTCCACAGTTCCTGGAGGACCGCGAGGAGCAGAGCAGACGCTCTTACAGGTGATCACTGCTCAGTCAGCTCCCGGCAGAGTGCTGACTCTGCACCTGCAGTCAAGTGCTCTGCAGCTGTTTGCTCAGACTGAAGTAGGTCTCACCACCTTTATCAGTTTATAAAGGAGCCAGGAGGCTGTTCATGTTGTGCTTGAGTAACAGTTAAATCAAACACGGTCACCTGGTGAGTTACAGCATTTACCAATTTCAAAATAATACATTTAAGATTACAAAAGAACTTGATCATTAATTGTTGTTGCCTCTGTTTTGTACTGCCTGCTCTGTGTCCTGGGTGTGGAACAGTGCTATGGTTTATCTAAGAACACTGACCACTTGGTGAGCGTACCAAAGCTGCTTTGTTCCTTTCTGTTGCCAGGTATCTGGCTGCTCAGAAGTCATGCTCTGAGTGAACAGGGTCTGTGTTTTGTTTCTAGATGTGACTATTGCAACAAAGGCTTCAAGAAATCCAGCCACTTGAAGCAGCATGTGCGCTCACACACGGGGGAGAAACCGTACAAGTGCAAGCTCTGTGGGCGTGGTTTTGTTTCCTCTGGCGTCCTCAAGTCTCATGAGAAGACACATACAGGTCACTGTCTGTTTCCTGTAGAAAGGTCTTGTAGACTAAACGCTCTTTAGTGGTCTTATTATTTCACTTAGTACAGTGTTTTGTTCAAGGTTCATCTGTGTTATAGCATGGATTAGTACTATGATTCTTTTTATGGTCTGTAATATTGCATTAGACAGATAAATCAAGCTTAATTTACCTATTTATTAGTTTTACTATTTGACTTCTGTGAACAATTCTATGTAGACATGACTTTATTTCTCCATCAAGGAACATGATTGCTGGGCCATAGGAATAACCCTTTTTAGGGTTGGGGATGATTCTGGGATGGTGATTATTGGGGAACACTTGCTTAGCATGTGTTCAAAACACTGCAAAAGCAAGCTCACCTGTAAACTTTCATGCTCAATCTAACTTTTCCAGGCAACCATTTTCCATTTTGCCAGAAAATGTATGAAGGTCCCGATTCTTCCTCATCTCATCAATGCATTGTTTTGTTTCTCTTTGCTGTCACCATACTTGGGTGGGAAGCAATCACTTGTTGGGGGTATGATTTATGTATATTGAGTGGCTCATGGTGTTGAGTTTGTTACCGTGTACTTGTTGAGAATTGTCTGTTCTAATCATTCTCTCATTTTAAAGTTAGGTTATTTGTTTTATTTCATCAATTTGGTAAAGAATTTTAAAAATAGAGTCTGGACATTTGATCTTTATCAGATATATACTTTATAATTAAATTATAGTTATCTGTTGAACACATTCTGTTTAATATTTGTTACACATATTCAGCTTCAGTATGTATTCTGTAGAACACTTTATTTGAAAATGATGGTACACCCCTTACAAATGCACAGAGGAAGAAAAGTCAGTGAATGTGTCTGTTGCTGACTAGGGGGTGATTTTAAGAACGGTTGAAAAGTTGGTTGTGAGATTAGTGGTACATAGGAAGTACTGTTCTAGAGGCAGAGATAGCCAGTCCGTTGAGGGAAGGCTGGATCAGTCTAGGTGCTTTTGAGGCTCTGTTCTGTCAGAGTCTGTAGCACTGAACTTCATTAGAAGTGAGGCCATGGAAAGGCTTCGTAGGTCCTTCCTGGGTCTAACTAATAAGCCATTGCTGTGGCTGTAGCTCGAAGATGGATCCAGAGAAGCATTTTGAGGGTCCTGTCTACAAACAAGCCACAGCTGAGATTTCAAAGGTGGGGACAGAGCAGTCTTGGCTTGTTGTGGGCAGCTTCTTCTGAGAGCTCTTCATTTAGTCGAGATCTAGTAAGACATGCTCTGCCTTTGTTTGTGTCTCTGACAGTATCCAGTCACAACCTTGAACTGTAAGCCGGGTAAACTCTTCGTGTTACTTGTTTGTCCTTGAATGCCTACGATTCCAGGATAATGAAGTGACACGTTCCCTTCCTTGCTTTGTCTGTTGATACAGGGGTCAAGGCCTTCAGCTGCAGCATCTGCAGTGCCTCCTTCACCACCAATGGCAGCCTCACGCGGCACATGGCCACACACATGAGCTTGAAGCCTTACAAGTGTCCGTTCTGCGAAGAGGGCTTTCGCACAGCGATTCACTGTAAAAAGCACATGAAGAGACACCAGGCAGTCTCATCTGCAACCTCAGCAGCTGCAGACACAGAGGGAGGAGGTAGTTTCTGTTTTGGATTGAAAGTTTACTGGTCAAATGCCAATTTAGTTATAAGTTACAAATTGATTTGAATACTGCAGTCTTACAAATTAAGCTTAGTAGTACCTTGAATTTTTAATTTAAGAATGTGTTATTGAATGGACATGGTGCATGTATGTGGGTGCATGTGCCATGCCATATATGTGGAGGACAAAGGACAGCTTTGTGGAGTTGATTGTCTCTCCTTCCACCTTCACATGGGTCCTGGACATCGAGCTCAGGTTGCCAGGCTTGTGCAGCGTGTACTTTTACCTGCATCTGAGAAGCCCTGAATTAATATAACTACAGTTTATATCTCTCTATAGTTTTATTTTCTGAATATGAAAGTCCACATGCCCTTTGAGAAAAAAATTCAGACTCAACAATGAAGTTCAGCTTTCCCAGTCGCCATGCACTGACGTGGCTCTGATTCAGCATGTGCCCCTGCAGTTGCACTCAGCATGCACGTGGGTGGGGTTCATTCTAACTTGTGCTGCTGTGCTGTACTTTATAATGCACAGAGCTTTCCTCTACTGAAGTTTTACGTGTACTTGACATAGCACAGATCTATACAGGTGCATCCCTGTAGTTGTATTTGTTATGCTGTGCTGTAGATGAATGCAGAGCTAAGTTTGATTTTCCCTGAAACTGTAGAGCCACATTTGTGAGAAGTTCCCCCTGGCCAGAGCTATGCTCAGTGTCAGATTGCATTACTTCATTTAATTCACATTAGGCACTGTGTGGTTGGAGAGACCAATCTTATTTCCTACCAAACATTACTCAAGTTAATTTGCCCGAATCCTGAGCCCTTAAGTTTATGACTCTGCTGCTTCTGTTTGTTGGCTGGCTTCCTTTTGGTAAATTCCACAAGTGAGTGCTTGTTTTAATTTTACAAGTGATACCAGCACACAGCAGTGTCACGTTTAGTGAGTGTAGTTATCATAGAGCCATGTAGTGTGTGTGTGTGTGTGTGTGTGTGTGTATGTGTGTGTGTGTGTGTGTGTGTCTCATTTTGTCGTGTTCATGGCTGGTACTGTTACTGAACAGTGGTGCTCAGTGTCATGCCCGTGCCACTTACAGTCTTTTGGTCAAGTACTCAGAGATGAGATCTGCTGAGGAAGTCTGCTTTCTTCTCAGTTGATGATCCCCTCATTTGCTTATGGTCATCTACCCATGAGGTTATGAGTCAGACCCTAGGATCTGAGAGTAGTGTAGATTTATTTGTCTTACAGTTTGGAAGGTGAGTCTTTACAGTTTGCCTAACCCATTTTAATTGCAAATGTCTTGACTTCAGTGTTGCAGAGCAGTTATTCAGTCAGCTTCATCAGCAGAAGTTCCCAGGACTTGGGCTTCTGGCCGTCTGTGTTTTAGAAGTAGTTCCATATGACAGTGCTTTGGTGTGCTTTTGTTTCCAGTAGTTACAGTCTGCCATGAGAGCTGAGGAATCATGAAAAGCTAGTCAGTTTTCCTTCCTGCGAAGTATCAGACACTACTCAAATCCTTTAGGCTAGATTGAATAATGTTGCAGGCCAGTCACATGTTCCTTCTTAGCAGTTAAGAAAGCAAAGATACTGGGAACTGGAGAGATAGCTCAGAGATTAAGAGCACTGGCTGCTCTCCAGAGGTCCTGAGTTCAATTCCCAGCAACCACATGGTGGCTCACAACCGTCTGTAATGAGATCTGGTGTCCTCTTCTGGCCTGCAGGCAGAACACTGCATAATAAATAAATAAGTAAATAAATAAATAAATAAACCTTTTTTTTTTTTTTTAAAAAAAAGAGAAAGCATAGATGCCATTAAGTCAGTATTACAGTTGATATGTGAGTCCCTTTAGGACTTTGTCACACTGCACTAATATTTACAGGCACTGATGAGTCTTCTTGTTTCTGAGTCTTCTTGTTTTTTTTCTCTCACCTGTGGTTTACTCTGCCCCACCAGTGTTTGTGAATGGCTTTTAATTCCTTCACATTTGGAATGGTTAGCCATTTGGCTTTATTTGAGCCATCTTCTATTTTTACTATGTATTTTGCTTAAATTTAATTGTCTTTTCCTCATTCATGACTTTCTATGTGAATCTATATATATCTTGGTTATTTGAAAAATTTTAATACAACCATCTTCATATATCACTGTCAGTGTTGGTGGGGGCCACTAGCTATTACATTTTCCTAAAGCTTTCAGAGTTTACAAGTGTGTTAGGAAATTTTTATTTGTAGTATTTTCTTTTTATAGAACTTTTCTGAGTAGATATTGAATTTCTGGGCTCTGTCTTCCATGACTGATCCCCTTTCAGTCTGTCTCCTTCCTGTCTGTCCCATCTTTTCTTGCCCATTGTGTTCTAGAACATCAGTCCAGTGGTTTCTCACACCTCCCCTAGTTCTGCTTGTCTTGGATTTAAGTGTTTCAGCCCTGAGCCCCTGGCCCACAGTCCTGTACTTTTATTCTCGCATTTTCATAGCAGTTTGGTCTTTTTAGCAACTGGAACTTATCCTTGTAACCAGGGAATGTGTGTATGCATTTTAAGTTTGTAGTCATTCTCATCAGATTGAACGTTCTTTGCTAGTTTGTTCACCTCTGACTTTTTAGTGTCTGGCTTTATTTACCTAGTAATCAATTTAGTCCCATGGTCCTATGTGAGTATCTATAAATCCTGGTGGGTCTGTAGACTTCAGTGTTTTTTAAGCTTCTTCTGCATCTGTAAGCTGGCATAAGCTGGCCTTCAACCACTGCAGATTCCTGGGCCCTCCTTCACTTGTCTTCCTTCTCCCTGGTCATACAAGTCCCCATTAGCCCCAATTGGAAAAGCAGCTGTTTGCTGTCTGAAATGTGACTCAATTAGATTACTAACACTAACCTTACATGCTTCCCCTTCATCTTCTCATGTTAATGGGGATTTTGAATCCTTTTCTCATGCTTTTAATAGACACGTGTGTGGAGGATGAGGAAGAAAATTGTGACAGAAGTGCATCAAAAAAGCCTCGTCCTGAGGTCATCACTTTCACAGACGAGGAAACAGCCCAGCTGGCCAAAATTCAGCCCCAGGAGAGTGCTACAGTGTCTGAGAAGGTCCTGGTGCAGTCAGCTGCAGAGAAGGACCGCATCAGTGAGATGAAGGATAAGCAAGCAGAGCTTGAGGCTGAACCCAAGCATGCCAACTGCTGCACATACTGTCCTAAGAGCTTCAAGAAACCCAGCGACCTGGTGAGGTGAGCATGCTGTCACTTGTATACAGAGCTCTAACAGACTTGAAAGTGGACTCTGATGCTTTTCACTTTGGTATGGGAAGTTATCCGTGGAGTATGTTGTTCTAATCCTGCATCGACTTGGTAGTGAACTCGTGTAGAATGGTGGTGAGTGACTTTGTTTCTTATGCATCTTCCTGTATGATTGTGATAGAAGCAGAAAATTAACTAATTGCAGAACATAGAGTGCCAGTCTGTGCCAGGTATAGAAGACTGGCAGATAACTTCTTCCAGAGGACTGCTAGTCAGTGAAAGCCCAGAACAAACTAGAGACCACCAGATGTCACAGGTCCATCAGCTAACTGATGGCTGATGTGCATGATGGACGGAGCACATATAGCACTTGGTAAGAGTTCTAGGGCTGTGCAGAGGACAAAAACAAGCCATATCCAGTTGTTGTCATCTAGTTTGCAGTCATGACACAAAGCTTGGCTCTAGGAGATCAGAGAGCCAGCAGGTGGGGTGCACAGAGCACCTTCACGAGCAGCAGAGCTAGACAGACTGCAGTTAGTGCTCCATGTGGAGACTGCACTTGCTGTTACACAGTGAAGTGTAAAAGTTTTATTTGGCCATATTTAATCAGAAATAGTAGCTTATGATTTTTATTTATATGGTTATAAGTTTATGAAGTTGTTTATAAATATATATATAGTTAAAAATAAAATTCCTTAATTAGAAATGTTTTTCTAATAGGCACGTTAGAATCCATACTGGAGAGAAGCCATATAAGTGTGATGAATGTGGGAAGAGCTTTACTGTGAAGTCCACACTAGATTGCCACGTGAAGACTCACACGGGTGAGTAGGGCCCCTCAGCACTGCAGATTCCTCGGGCTGTGTGTGAATGTTTTGTACACAAATGCTTCTAAATTGCAGAGAACTCAAAATTAGGAACTATGAAAAATAGATTAAAAAGTTTTTTATTCCTGACATAAGGAAAATAAAACTGTTAAAGGGATGGAGGGATAAAACATCAAAAATCAAGTTGCAAATTAGCTGTGTTCTTACTCAAGCTTTCTGCTCTTCTTTCACAAGGTTCCCATAGAGATTCATTTTGCTGGGACTTGGCTATCTGCTGACAGTTACCAGATTATAGTATCTTTTTATGTGAGGAGAATCTCATCAAGGGGAAAATGGTGTCTTGTTTCCTTGGCCTTTTTCTTTACCTGACTTGAGGATATGAAAATTAGTTGCTTTAAAAGCACAAATCTTTGCTCCTTGAAGTCTCCTGTTGGAAGAGTGATTCTCAACCTGTGGGTTGTTGACCCCTTTGGAGTTCAAATGGCCCTTTCACAGGGGCTGCCTAAGATCATTAGAAAACACAGATACTTATATTATAATTCATAACAGAAGCATCATTACAGTTATGAAGTCTTAATGAAAAGTGTTTTAAACTTAGGGGTCAACGCCGTATGAGGAACTATATTAAAGGGTTGCAGTGTTAGGAAGCTTGAGAACTGCTGAATTAGAAGGCATCTTCCCTGAGCCATAGACATCTTACGTGTGACATGAGGCATAGCCCCCCAACTCCATTGAGATTTTATTTGTATTAAGACATAACTAGCCAGTAGTGTGTTTGGCATGTTGACACATAGGAACTCTTCAGTGAATGTTAGACATCATTACTGTGGGCCACTGGGGAGCATCATCAAATTAACCCATATTGCAAAGTTTTTGATTATGAGTTTGAACAAATAAGTACAAACAGAATTTCATATGCATCTGTTGATGTGAAGTTCTGTGATTCTTTCCTGATGGATTATTATTGATAGCTAAAAAGGGATAAACTCACTTATTAAGACTGTATCATATGCAGTTGTTTCATCCAATTCCAGTGTGTCCTGTGTTTTGTTATGAACTTGCTGAGGGTGGAGAGGCTTACTTTGTTCAGCTCAGAAGACTCAGGCCCAGTACACTGTTCACATGCTAGTGCCCAGTTGTTCCTCTAGATCAGCATAGCTGTTCCAGGCTATATGGGGTGGGAGTTCAGCTTAGGCTATGTAGGCAAGAAAAACTGTTTCCCCCTTTGGAATGACAAGGTGACTTTTGGAGACCCCAGAGCAATATAGGCTCACAGACTTACTAATGCCACTTTGAGTCTGCTTGATCATCGCTGGGATGGCACATCATAAAGGGTGGCACTTACTTCCTGGGTTTCTGATCCTGAGCTCTTCTAGGGCAGTTGTTGGCAGTGGCATTTGTACCTTGGTGGCTTTTATTATATAGATGATGAGAAGAACCAGAACAAGATACATGACACTGGACACAGGGCCTCTGGGCTCAGGATGGTATTCCCCATGCACACTCTTCCGAGTGAGCTGCTGTCTGTGATGGCATTTCTCTTTTCAGTAGACCCTGAGATCTTAAATAACCTATGTAAAGAAATAAAAATGACTCAGGGCTAAGTCTTCTAGTGAAAGTAAATCAAATGTTTCAGTCAAGATTCTATGGAATGTAGTAATTTCAGAGTACAAAGTCTCAGAGGGTTGTCGAAGCACTAGCCAGATTGTAGACAGTGGACAGGAAGCTATCTGCAGGTTCCTGTGTTGTCATAGCATCCTTGGTTGAGAGCCTGAATCACTTTGGTTCATGCTGCCTAGTAGAAGGTTTCTGTGAGCTCAGGCTGTCGCTAGTCCCTGCTGATTGTTGCTGGTGTTCTTGTAGGCCAGAAGCTGTTCAGTTGTCATGTCTGCAGCAACGCCTTCTCCACAAAAGGAAGTCTGAAGGTGCACATGCGCCTGCACACAGGGGCAAAGCCTTTCAAGTGCCCTCACTGTGAGCTGCGCTTCCGTACTTCTGGGAGGAGGAAGACTCATATGCAGTTTCATTACAAATCAGATCCTAAGAAAGCCAGGAAGCCTGTGACCCGAAGCTCATCAGAGAGTCTGCAGCCTGTGAGCCTCCTCAACTCCCCTTCCACTGACCCCAATGTGTTCATCATGAACAACTCTGTTCTAACAGGGCAGTTTGACCAGAATATGCTTCAGCAAGGGCTGGTGGGTCAAGCTATCCTTCCTGCCTCTGTTTCAGGTAAGAAACCAACATATGTTCCTCTCATCTGTCCCCAAAGCAAGGCAGTCGTGCAAGCCTTTCCTTTATAAGGCAGTGTGGAAAGCTGATTTCTTGTCACTGTATCTGCTTTAAATACTTTAGTACTTTCATCAGCTTTTGCTTCGGTGAGTCTCAGCACACTTCCTCCTGCTTGGTGTTCTCCTAGATTAGTTCAATATCTGATTTTCACATCTCACTAGCAAAAACTAGCAAAATTATCCATTGGCATTGGTCACACACTGCTTAAACAGCATCACATTACACCAGGTGGATTCATGTGCACTTTGAAGTAAGTGCACAGTTCCTGCAGCTGTTTGACATCTTGTGGTCTTTTCCTTCTCTGTCTGTCCATTTGGGATATGAAAGCCAGATTGCCATTGCGTTTGCCAGTAGGACACTCAGTCGTCTCTCTCAGCCTGTTTCTGGAGTCTGGTTGGGAAGATTATTTATTCCCCAAGAGCTGTTTTGTCACAAGGCAGATGATATGTCTGTAGTATAAATATCTGTAGTTCTTGACTAGATATCTTACCACAACATGTAAAACTTTTGTGCTCTAAAATCACTATGGAAAAAGTGAGTTCTTTTACATTTATGTTGTTAAGTTCTTTTGTTTCTCATTTTCTGACCAGCTGGTGGGGACTTGACAGTGTCTCTGACTGATGGGAGTTTGGCCACTCTGGAAGGTATCCAATTACAGCTGGCTGCTAATTTGGTTGGACCAAATGTTCAGATTTCTGGAATTGATACCTCCAGCATCAACAATATCACTCTACAGGTACCATTGTTTTCTTTTTTTTTTAAATCTATTTATTTATTATGTATACAGTATTCTGTCTGCATGTATGCCTACAGGCCAGAAGAGGGCACCAGATCTCATTACAGATGGTTGTGAACCACCATGTGGTTGCTGAGAACTGAACTCGGGACCTTTGGAAGGGCAGGCAGTACTCTTAACCACTGAGCCATCTCTCCAGCCTGTTTTCTGTGCTTTAACTTTGTCTGAATCACATGGAGCACAAAATTCTCACTTACATATACATGTATTGTTTCACAGATTGACCCGAGCATTCTGCAGCAAACACTACAGCAGGGCAACCTGCTTGCTCAGCCAATCACAGCAGAGCCTGGCACCGGCTCACAGAACAACTCTCTTCAGGCATCAGACAGCACTGTCCCAGCCAGTGTTGTCATCCAGCCCATCTCAGGCCTGTCCTTACAGCCCACAGTGACGTCTGCCAATCTGACCATTGGCCCGCTCTCTGAGCAGGACTCCGTGCTGACTACCAGCAGCAGCGGTAAGAGCCCACTGCTCTTTATTTTAGAAACTGGGATTTTGTTTTGTTGTTCATGGTAACACAGTTGTTAGGTTGGTATGTTGTCATTTTTTATCTCTTTTAAAGCTCAGCAAAGAAGTAAAAACCATGGAGTTTTCTCAGTCGCAGTGGTGTCAGTTCTGCGTGTGTCCAGTTTATTCTTTGTGGAGTTACTTTTCTCAAACTGGCTTCTTGTTTTATCATTTCACTTAGTCCTCTTTCTTCCTTGTGCCCTCTCTTTCTCTTTCTCCTCTTCTCTTTCTTTGTGGTACTGGGAAATCAAACATAGGCCTTTGTGAATTCTAGAGCAAGTTTTCTCTCATTAGATAAAGTAATTAAAAGTGACTGATAATTTATTCTAAGTCTTTGGATTTTAAAAATAATCTTTAAGATGCTTTCATAGAAGCCAGGAGAAATGTGTTTCATTAGAGCTCAGTGTTATTTGCTTTGTGATCATGAGCAGGGACACAGGACCTCACTCAAGTGATGACTTCACAAGGCCTTGTATCCACTTCGACGGGCCCCCACGAGATCACCCTGACCATCAACAACTCAAGTCTCAGCCAGGTCCTTGCCCAGGCTGCTGGCCCCACTGCCACATCATCCTCGGGCTCTCCGCAGGAGATCACGCTGACAATCTCTGGTTAGTAAGTTCACATTGTAGATGTCTTTTGGCTTATAGCTTAAGGCCATCTTGTTCGTGTCTGCAGCACTCAGACATAAAGACATCACATTTCATTGTGTGACAGATTCAAGTCTAATGAAGTCTAGTGTCAGAAACAAACGTGTGTTTCTTACCTGATTTCCTGTTTCTGTAGTGCTGATTGTGGAATTAATGTTTAGAGTTGGCCCTTTTGCCGTATGTCTTTGCTTAGCAGATACCAGTGTGAGGAACTTCCTGACTGCTGCTCCTGTTCTGTACACTAAAGAAACATCACTCATCTGAGCTGTGTACAAGAAACCGTAAAAACCTTCCATGGTCTCCTCTAGTCTTATATCTTTAGAACACTACTAAGATTATGTAGGAAGTTTTAAATATGTTAGAGCATTAAATTTGGTAATAAAGAGCACTTGACATCACCAAATCACCCAAAATGTTAGTCACTGGTCTGAGGTGTTCCTTGCTTTCCCTCCCTGATCCTCAGAGTCACTCTCACAGTATGCTCAGGCCTGTGTAGTATGGGCTAGTATGCTTGGTTCACATGATTCCTTGCTCTGCAGTCTTCGTTTCTTAATGTAAACTAAGTCTTTTTTTAAAAAAAAAAAGAAAGAAAGAAAGAAAAAGAAAGAAAAGAAGAAATGAAAGCCAAGGTCTTGCTCAGGTCTGCCTCAAACTCATTGCGTAGCCAAGAATGATGCTGAATCTCTGAGTCTCCTTCCTTTGCCTCCTTAGTGCTAGAATTATAAGCATGTGTCACTGTGCCTGGTGTACTAGTTATTTCCATTGCTGTGATCAACACCAGGACCGAGGTAGCTTCTACAAGGAAGAGTTTATTTGGGTTTTTGCTTTCTGATGCAGAACTCATAATGGCAGGTGAGGCATGGTAGGTAGCAAGCAGCAAGATCAGAAAAAAGTTGAGAGATCACATCTCAGCTGCTCAGCGAAAGCAGAAAAGAGCAAACTGGAAATAGAGTAAGGCTGTAAACTCAGAGCTTGCCCCCAGTGGCCTGCTTCCTCCAGCAGAAGGTGCTCAGGCTTCCTAGGCAGCCCCAGCAGTTGGGGAATAGGTGTTGGCTACAGGAGCCTGTGGAGGTGTTTCTCATCCAAGCCTTCCCGTCCAGTGTGAAGGCTGGGGGTTAAGCCTGGCATTGTGCATAGTTACGTGCTGGCAGGCAGCTGCACCCCCACCCATAAGTTATTTATAGCACTTGCTCTCATGTAACAGTGCATTTAAAGCTCATAACCACCTTACACTTATACTGTAAGAACAGTTATAAAGTAAGAGCATTTTTACTAAAACTCCAAGTAGAAGTTTTGTTTTTCAGGAGGGTCTTACTTTCAGATGTATTTGTACTTTTGAATGTCATGCTGTGACTTTTACCTGCTGCAGTACAACACATATTATTAACATTGGGTTTTGTATGGTTCACTAACTCTTATTATTATTATTTTTGAAGTGTTCTCAGTGTTGGATATGTGTTAGGTCTTATCAAAAGCATCTGCAGAATTCTTACTTATAGCTTACAAACTAAGTTCTTCACTTTTATTTCTTGTTTTTCTATACTTGGCCATATTCTTATGCTATTGCTATGGATATCATAAAAGGGTAGCCGTATATAACATTAAGTATTTATTTATTTTACTTAAAGGGTTTGTTGAGTCAGACAATTTCTGGCTGGTTATTCAGGCAGAGCATTGTGTGTCACTTGTTGAAAGCATCTGATGCCATATACAAGTTGTCACTTGGTTTGTGTGATGCACAGGATGGTATGCACAGGTGAATATAAGTGTTATTTAAGTCATGTAGATTTATAGGGGTGTATAAGTCCTAACATTTAGAGACAATAAAAAGGAAGGATGGTCCTCCTCTCCAAACTGGACTTGTTCATACCCAGCAGATGATCTCTGACTGGATGCTTGCAGCCAGTTGATGAAAAGTGATGTCTAGTGAGACTCAGTAACATGGCATGGATTGGAGCACTCTTCCTGGGGTCTGTTAAATGATTGGCTGATAATAGTAATGTTTTCTCTTTATTTTTCCCATATTTGTGTTTATAATGCATGGCTGTATTTCTTGTCTGTCTGGAGTGCCCAGGGGTAGGTTGTAGTTCAAGACTGCAGTACAGCATCTTCATCCTCTGATGCTCTTTTCCCATAAGTCTTACTTCACTCACTCCTGATATTACAGCAAAGTTCCAAGGCATCTTGTCTTTTTCAAGTCTTCCAAAGCATTCATGTGGTTTTCATGGAAGCTTCAGTAGATGTCTTTGTTGTGTTGTGTATCATTTAGATAAGTAGCACATGTCCCTTATAGGAACATGTCACAGATGCTAATGCATGTTGGCAAGCAGTTGGGATACACTGAAGGGGAAGCCGTCAGCACAGGATGTTCAGCATTGGCTAACCTGAAAGCTTGTTGTGTGGAAGCTGACGAAGGAAAGTTCTGTTAGTGTTTGGTGATGTCCCTTATACACATGTAAACAAGTTTTAACTGCATCTGGTTGTGAACTACATTTGGAAGTGTTTTCAGTTCAGTGAAAGTGTTTTTCAAAAAGAAATGTGGTTTTAAGTGAAATGTGGTTTTCAGTTCCTAAATAAAGTAGAATTCTCAAGTAGTTTAAAAAGTATGGACAGATACTTCCATTGAGGAAAATATAGGTCATATATTTATTAATGTTACAAAGTATTATTAAAAAGCAAAAGTTTACCATCTGGGGGTGGTGGCGCATGCCCTTAATCCCACACTTGGGAGGCAGAGGCAGACAGATCTTTTGAGTTCCAGGACGGCGGCCTGGGCTACACAGAGAAACTGTCTCAAAACAAACAAATGAACATAATAAATATAACATACAAACAGAAAAAACAAAATATAAACAAACAGAAAACCCCAAAAGCTTTGAGGATAGTACTGTATGTTGAGCACATTTATTAAAGAGTAAATTAAAACTTTATTTTGAGATCTGTTTCTTTGGGAGTTGCAATCTTACTAATCTCAATTAGTTTGGGTATAGTGAACTAAGTGAAGGATAAGTCTGTTGTTGGGACCTGTGACCAGTGGCCTGCCAGTCTGTAGATGATTCTTTATGCAGCTCTGCTGTATTACACTAGGTAGGCACGCAGCCATGGATTCAACTGTGACAGACATCATAAAATATAGGTAAAGAGCTCACATTTAATAAACAAAGGAACTAAACTGCAGTCAGAGACTGCTTATTTGTTTCCCTACTGCTCAGACCTGAGTAACTATATTAATTATAATACTGTTTGGCCAATAGCTTAGATGTATTCATACTTATCTCTTATATCTTAAATTAATCCATTTCTGTTCATCTGTAGGCAATGTTAAGGTTCTGGCAGCAGCATCTCTTTTCTTCAGCAGCTACATGGCATCTCCTTGACTCTAATTACTCTCTCTCTATATCTCTGTTCGGATTTTCTCCCTGGCTCTATTTTGCCCTGCCATAGGCTGAAACAGCTTTATTCATTAACGAGTAAAAGCCACACATACAGAAGGACCTCCCACATCACACGACTCTCTTTTAGGACTTGGCATTGTGACCTATGCCTGTTTTTCTAGTACTCTGGAGACACAGTGTCATGATGCAATATGCCAGAAAGAGGTAAACATGTTTTTTCTTTCCACAATTTCAGAATTTTTAAAATAGCAGCAAATACACAAGGTTTAGACATTTCAGTGACAGCACTTTGTCATATAGTCCTGCCATAGATGAGTGGAGGGTCTTTCATTCCAATCTTAATTTTTAATATTTTCATATCACAAAGCATACAGTAAATATTTCCATATTTGTGGTTTTTGGAGTGAATATAGGCTAATAAAGAGGCTGCAGAGTTCCAGTTCAGAGATTTCAGAAGCGGGCTGAGGAAAAATATTGATATGATACCAAACCAGGCCAGTACCAGGAAGGAGCTGCTAGGGTCGTGGTTTGAGAGTGAGGTTGTTCCAGGTGTGAGGTAAAAGACTGAATCAGGGTTTGAGAACAAATACAGTGGGTTCAGGTCCAGATCCGGATGGTTGAGCAGATGAACAGGCAGGCAGTTGAGTAAACCAACTTCAGCAATGGGACTGTCTTCAGGTTACTGTGGCTGTGATGAAACAGTTTGGCCAGATCACTTTGGGGAGGAAAGGTTTATTCAGTTCACATCACAGTTTTGTTATCAGAGGAAGTCAGCACAGGAACTCAAACATGATAGGATCTTGGAGGCAGAAGCTGATGCAGAAGCCATGGAGGGATGTTGCTTACTGACTTGCTTCACAGGGCTTGCTCAGCCTGTTTTCTTATAGGACACAGGACCATCAACCCAGGGATGGCCCCTCCTACAATGGACTGGGTCCTCCCCTGTCAATCACTAATTAAGAAAATGCTTTGCAGGCTTGTTTCTGATTGAAGAGTTTTTCTCAAATGATGACTCTAATTTGTGTCAAGTTGCCATAAAACAGTCCAGTACAGGGACCATGCCAACCTGAAAATCCCGGGGCAGTTGAGGAGTCCTCTCCTTTTTGATCCTTGACATGTGCACCAAGTATCAACTGGTAGATTGCTGTGAGGCCATGCCATCATAGCATTAGATGTCCATGACTTTATGGGGCCCTAGTGAGAGAATTATACCCTTTCCTTGGTTTGTTGTGTCCCACAAGTTTGATTTTATTTATAGAGTAGCTCCCTATCTACTCCCAGGAATAAGTTATTGATAGTCTGTGCTGGTCCCTTACAGTTGGCACAGTTTCTGGTCCACCCAGGGCTGCAGCCCTCCTCAAGGGGAAGTCAGATGCTGCCTGTGATCTGGGTGCTGCTCAGCTGAGAACCACTGTTTTATACCGCGTGGTGCATCTTAGAGCACACATAGCTTCATCTCAGCACTGAGGAGGGTCAGGAGTTCTCGGTCAGCAAGAGCTCTATGTCTTGACTCTGTTTCCAAAGGAGGGGGCAAGTAAGACGTCCTTCAAAGCACAAAGAACACAT